ATAACAGAAATAAGAGAGTTTAGGGGAAAATAAATCAGAATGTGGGGGGGAGAAGGGCCTAATGGCCCTTTTCACAGCCAGGTTTTACTCACCAGACTTTGACAACATATTGCCCAACTAAGATCACAAAAATGTCATGTCTGGACTGAGAGCAGCTGTACTTGTGTTATTAGAGATCAACTCATCAAAACCAGTGACAGTCAGAACCAATGGCCCGTGTGGCCTGGCTGGTGCTCTCCCTCTGGATGCCTGTAGTCTACTGGAGCATCTTCATGGCGTCATTCTCCACCTCTGTCATACTTAAAATGACTTAATAAAAACACACCAACTACTCAAAGGGGAAATGGCAACACAAGCACATAAGTCATGCCCTGAAGTGTCTTGTTTGTCAGGACAGGCTGTGAAATACTGCTAAAGAACAAAATATGACCCAGACACGTTGGGGCAAGCGTGGTGAAATCCTCCTGACAACAAAGTTTGAGATAGCTGTACTTTATAAGGACTTTTCACCCAGACGCTATGTTAGGAGTGCTGGCGACAGAAAGCTTCAATATAACAGAGCAGGGGTCTGTGTGAACCACGTGTGGTTCCAACATAATGTGTCTGCAAATGAGAAAATGCATCCAGAGGAGAACCTCATCAGGAAATGTCCTTCAGCCACCTCCACAGCCCTCATAACACTGAAAAAGCCCATTGAACTGTTTTTCTGAAAACACCAGCTCTAAGGAACTTTTCTCAGACTGTATCCATACTGCAGAAAGGAAAATAAAGTAAAATAACCACCAGCCAGCGGTTGGGAGATGAGTCAAAGCTTTTTCACAATTCCTGGATTTCAAGTGAACTTGGCCGACCCCGAACTTGAATGTTAGTAGACTGCTGTCTGCTTCTTATTTAGAAGATGACATTCAATGTTGCTTATATCATCAATTTTAAAATATAAGCATCTTAAATTTAATTAGATTCTCTACAGCTAATTACTATAGACCAGTGATCCCAAACTCCCTTCCCCGAGGGTCAGAATCCAGCACGTTTTACTGTTATTCCTGTTTCAACACACCTGATTTTAATCAGCAGGTGATTAACAGCCTTCTGCCGAGCCTGGTGAGCTGCTTAACAGGTGAATCAAGTGTTGGATTAGGAAAACTACTAAAACATGCTGGATACCACATACTGCGCAACAATTAGCCGCTGTAGTGGATGGGTGCATTTTCACCAGCTGCAAAGGGTCGCAGAAACGTCCCAGAAGTGTAGGGCAGGGCTATTCAGGTCCAGGTCTGGAGGGCCGGTATCCAGCACGCTTTAGTGGTTTCTCTGGTCCAACACGCTTGATTCAGCGGTTGAATCACCTGTGCAGCAGCTCATCAGGCAATGCAGAAGTCTGTTAATTACCTGCTGATTGAAATCAGGTGTGGTGAAGCAGGGTTAGAACCAAAACGTGCTGGACACCCGCCCTCCAGGCCTGGAATTAAATAGCCCTGGAGTAGGGGCATGTCGCTCACGCGTAGGGTTGTCACGGTAACCGGTGTAGCGGTAAACCCGGTGAAAAAGTTGACAATAATAACAGTCTTGTAAAAAATATATTATCTCGGTGGATTACTGTGGCTGCGGTGTAGGCGCGGTGACCCTTACCAGCCAACGTATCGTCTGCTGAAGTTGACGGCAGCACATGCGCACTTTGTTGTTTACAACCAAAACTTTCTTGAAGCTAAAGCTGAAATAATGGCCAAAGGAGGAGACGGCAGCGCTCAGGACATTTATTATCCCTCAAAGAAGACAAAGTCGGAAGTATGGGCATTATTTTTTTTTTGGATATTTGAAGAATGCCGAGGGACAGTTGATAGAAGACGGCTATCCTGTTTGCAGCACGTGCAGAAAAAGTGTCTGTGAAAGGCAGCAACGCTTCAAATCTCATGACACATCTGCGTGACCATCGCCCACAACTCTACAGTCAATGCAAGGCAAGTTAAGAAGAAGAAGAAGAAAATATCATTTTTATAGCGCCTCTCAAGATAAAAATCACGAGGCGCTTCACAAAAAAAATATATATATATAAATATAAAAAACCATTTAGAAAATGTTTAAAATATATTTAAAATGAGCAAAAATAGGCAATTGGGATTTAAAATAAAAAAGTGTTAAGAAAGAGAGAGCGTGAATAGGAAAGCGGGAAATCAGTGGATAACGTTAGCGTTTTAGCTAAAATGTGTGATCCGAGGATTTGGGTTGAGGGAGAATGCAACGAGTCTCTATATAAAGCAGCCGCGGCGCCGCTACCTGCATATAAACCGTGTCGCGGACACCCACATAGTGAAATGACGCTATGCATTACGGGGCTCCCAGGGGCAGATAAGAGTTGATCTCTCTCAGAGAATATTTATGAATTTAACAATGATTACTGCCTGATGACTTTTTCCCAAATCTGCAAAGCTCACTGGAAGAACACAAACCGAGGATGATATTTTCCTGATGTAGGGTTTATTACTCAAGTAAGGGTAAAAAAAAATATCCGATTGGAAGAGTACTTGAGTACTGAGTATCATCTGGTCTAATATTTTTTAAATGATGACATCAAACAGACAAAAAATTAGAAGTTATGGGCAAATATTGGTATTTTAAAGACTAAAGGGGAAAAATGTAAACAAATAAACAACATAATTACAAAATAACACATTTTAGGCTAAATTTTAGCACAAACTGAGGACAATATTTTCCTGATATACAGGGTTTATTTAATTGTCTGAAAATGTAACATGTTTAAAAAAATACCGCAATAATACCGAAAACCGTGGTAATTTTGGTCACAATAACTGAGGTTAAATTTTCACACCGTGACAACCCTACTCACGCGTTGAGTCTATTTTGTACATATTACACGTCCAGAATGCGTCAAGTTCAATAGTTCGGACTGTTGACGCAGGAAAGTATTGTAAAACATTCGGAAACTTTCAAAATAAAAGTTGTGCAGATTTACATTTCCTTAACTGGTAAACAAGTACATCATTACCTGTGAAACCTCCGTAGATGCGTTAAAAGGAACAGAAAATGAACCAAAGACCTTTCTGGATACATGCTGCCATATTTCCCCTTACTTTTATCGCATGAACTGCCAGAATCACACGTGATGTAACTCTCCAGTCATTTTGTGATGTTGTGGAACCAGTTCAGTGGAACGCCTTTGCTGCTGTTTTGTGTTTGAAACCCTCCCGGTGGGAAGGGTGCTTGCGGGTGAAAAATACCTGTTGTGTTACACGCCGCTTACGCATCCAGTGGAAAGCAGAGTTACACTACATGCAGGAAATTTCCTTTCATAACTACTTTGAAGCAGGAGTAAAACGAGCTTTATAAACAGTTCAAATTCAAAATGACAGCACTTCCTTTGGTACAAAAACCAAACAAACTCTAGGATAAAGGAACTGTATAAAGGTCCCTGTGGTTAAAAACAGGAAGGTAGTGAATGACTTTGTAGGTCCAGATAGCATGAATGAATATAGCAATGGTACCACAAATAAAAATGTTTAAGATACTGTTTATAGTTGTCAACCAATCTTTCTTCAGTTACCCACGAGAAGGTCTCACTGCAGTATTTGGCATGTTTTTTCTGGAGATATTGGCCTCAAACAACTGAACGTGATGCTTAAATATCAGCTTTTAAAATAAAATGAAGATTAACCTGGAAGTTATAGCCATACTGTTACAAACACTGCTACTAATAGGAGCGTAGCTCAAGAAGAAACCAACCAGACTTATGGAAGCATCTCTCAAGCTGGGGCAACTATTAACACACGCACGCACGCACGCACGCACGCACACACACACACACAGACACACACACACACACACACACACACACACACACACACACACACACACACAAACAACAACACAGACACACAAGCAAATGACGTATGCTGGCATTGAGAGTTGGGTAATAGGTGTGGAAGAATGTCAAAATGTCCTTCATCCCCTGCTTCTTACAACTGCCATGCGGTAGTCTCAACAGAATGGAGACAGAAAGACGGCGGTTTATCAGAGGAAATGTCTTTGTTTCTGTGCGATAAAACACTGGCATCCATAATACTATCTGATCAACACAATTTTCTAAATTTTAATATCTAAATATTGATGTAGGCTAATTCATTTAACTGGTTGAATGATACTAAAGACCATATCTCAGAAGGAGCACATCAATATGTCCTGCAGATTTGAAGCAGGCAGGGAGAAGTTAAACAACTTTGGTTCTTCTCATCAACCTGAAGACCACCCCCCCCCCACACACACACACTAATACAAGACATCTAATATATTCCACTCTCTTCTTTGCTAGCGTGCCCACACGCCGTCACTCCAGCAACCCACAAAGCAGCTTTGGCTGAAGTGAACGTGTCGAGCATCTGTATATTTAAACCTTCTGTAATGTGTGTTTGATCACAGACTGCATGCTGTTAATGCACAGACGTACATGGCATCCCAAATCTATCCTGCAACAGTTTCATGTCACAAGACAAAAACATTAACATGCTGAGTCTGCAGCAAGGCGCCAGTCACCAGGGAAACAATTCATCCAGACGCAGACGCGCGCGCACACGCACACGCACACGCACACACACACACACACACACACACACACTTTGAGTCAGCCAAAACACGTTGTGTGAACGGCACCAGCAAAACAAGTCGTCTAAAACACGACAGACATAAACACAAAAGTATGTTTTTATACTTCTTGTTATGGGATGATAATTTGAACTCTTATTTACGAAGGATAAGACACAACCACTTTAACCGTTCGGTGCATCAGTAAACAGATACTAACCTTTCATGCTTAGACTCAGAAATATAAGCATTTCATGAGCTCAGACTACATTTGCTGTCTAAACTAATACCTTTGTTTAACTCATTCTTTGTGTGAAGGTGAGGAAAAATTAACTTCAAATAAAGATCTTAAGAAAGGTTGGTCATGCAAAACAAACTTCCACACCTTTGCGTGAGATCTGGCTTACCTTTCTGGCAATGGTTGGAATTCCAGCAGCGGTAGTTGTAGTTGTTGTTGAACATAGTCTTCCTGCATAAAGGGTTGTTCTCCATGATGCCTGGACACACATCACTGCACTCCTTTGATTGCTTGTTCCCTGCGATGTAATTGTTGAACTCCGCATCCACGATGAGGGACCAGTCTATAGAATCCAAATAGCAGAGCTCTGGATTCTTCTCTATTCGGATAGAGCCACGAGTGATGTTCCTCAGGTTGTAGAGTCCAATGTCCTTCAGGCTCGTCATCTCAAAGATGACCAGGGCATAGTTATAGAAGAGGTTACGACCCCGGATGACAGAGAGATTGGGAAAAAGCGTGCTCAGACTGTCCAAGCCAGAAACCCTGAAGAGTAGCAGGTAGTCGGTGATCATGGTCAGCTTGGGGAAGCTTAGGGTGCGGAAGACTTCCTGGTTGATGTTGTTATTTTTATCCCCAATTAGAAGTATCTGCAAGTAGCCTTCAACCACCGTGCAATTCTCCAACTGTCTGAATTGACTGATGTCATTACCAATATCGATGCCGGGGGTACAAACTGCAAAAAAAGACAAAATGGACATGAGTGGTAAACAAATACAATCTTGCCAACACACGCTTCTCAGAAATTACATCACTTTCTCTATTAAAGGATGAAGTTTCACTTAATAAAAAATAAATAAATAAATCTGAATATTTCATCATTTATTGACCCACACTTTGTTAATGAATAGCATTGTGTTTTCCATTCCTGTAATGGTGATACAGAAAGATGTTTATTTTATACATTTGTTAAAATATCAACAGTACACTTGAATTGTTCTTTTGTTGGCAGAACATATTTGCCTTCTGATTCGGATTTTCAAATGCAACCAAGCATGGTGTGACAAAGTAAACACTTGAGTCGGGTTTGAATCATGCTTAGGTTAACAGGGCAATAAAGTTCGGATTGCCTGGCTGTTGTTACTCTAGCGTCCACCGGTGTTGTGTTCCACTGTATAGTTTAACAGGCTTTTATTGTGCATCACAGTGCAACACCATCTATTTAACAAGTACACGCTCTATGTTGATAGAAGAAAAAGCTGACAAAATGAATCGCCTCATAGGTACACTTGTACTTGGTTAAAATAACCAAGACAAATACACACATTTGACTTCAAACGTGGGTACTGTACACAGGCTGGACAATAATTCAATAACGATATATAGCGATCAATAGCCATGTGGTTCAATAGGAAAAAAATAAATCAATAAAAACTTCAATAAAAGTTTCCTTTTTTCATAATAGCCTATTGGGTAGCTTCTTATTAGAGTCTTTATTTACACCCAACCAATCAAAAACACAGACCCAAGTTCGCTCCGTCCGTCAACAAGCCCTCCCCTCTCAAACCTAGACAGCAGTGTGACTTAAACAAGATGTTGCAGCAAGGGCCGGTGGAAGAAATCATCCAGAAAAAAGATTACAGTACTTCACCAGTGTGGCAATATTTGAATTCTTACAAGTCTGACAAAAAAACAAACAACGAAGGTTTGCAACAGAGAATCGATTAAAAAAAAAAAACAAGTCTGGTAATGCAACCAACTTGTTTTATCATAAAGTAATGGCCTAAAATGGCCAGGGCTGCACTTAAAATATATTTTTGACATTTTTCATTTAGTTTTCAATAATTATTGATATCGATGAATAAGATTATTTTAAAAATTGATCAGCTTTTTTACTATATCGTCCAGCCGTACTGTACACTTCCATCCATCATGCCAAAATGTCTTTATTATTGTAACTCATTTATGACTGGTCCATCTACTTTCAAAAATATTCCATGAAGTTGGTGGAAAACAGAATTTTCATCTTTTCTATGGTAACATTTAGAAGTGTCTGGCTCAGTCACAACAAAGGTAATGCTTGGTATTCAAACACAATGCCCATGAACTATTGCTGCCACAATTAGTCAATTCATCATTACGACGCCGATAAACAAAACACTTGCCAATAAATTTAATAACAGATAATTCTATGAAGCACTGTTTTTTTTTATCTTGCCTGCTGCAGCACCACAGCTGCTTTCTGCTCGATGCACATGTGCAATCGTGGCTATCTGGGTCAGCTATCGTATCACCAGAATAAACAAGACATGGTGAGCTGGCAAAGTAGCTCAAAAGTCTGGGAGCATTTTACAAAGATAAAAGAGAAACGCGTATAGTGCAAAATCTGCAAAGTAGAACTCTCCTTTCACGGGAGCAACACAATGACGCATGAATACCTTAAAAAGTAGCATGTCGTGAAGGACGACAAAGAGGGACAGACGCCTCTGTAAGCTAATTACCTCTCGTTAGCTGCTAACATCCACAGGCAGTTACTTGTATTTATAGCTGTAGCAACAACAGTAGTGATGATGATTTTATTACCTGTAGCAAACACATGTCACGTATTTGCTCCCACGCTACAAAAACGAATGATTTCTTGTATCCCACTATGTTGCAGTGTTAAAAAAGCACTCCTCTTCAATGGATGAGTTTGTATACAAACCAACAACATGCACAACTCAGCAAGCAAACGTTCTGACTGAGGCCGTTTTTAACTTGTTGGTGATGGACATGAGATCCCTGTTCTTTGATAAGCTATCATCTTGTCTTTTCTTTTAGATGGCATATAACAGATCACACTTCTAACTAGAAGCTAATGATGGGTAAATTAGAGCAGCTGCATCCTGGTGCAATAAGCTATACTTTATGCTCAACACGATTAGTCGTTTAATCGCCAAAAATGATTAGTCGACCACTAAAATAATCGTTTGTGGCAGCCCTATTATGAACTGATTATTTTTCCTGTTTTGATGCAATCTTTGAATGTTTGGTTCAGTCAGATCAACCATTGGTCTTACAAACACATCAAAGAAAGGTTAGGGCCCCTTTTAGTTTTAAAAATTCAGCTCATGTGGAATCTGGTCAACGCAGACGCTCAGCAAGCCACTAAACCAATGCATGCTAAGTAGGGTTGTCACGGTAACCGGTGTAGCGGTAAACCCTGGTAAAAAAAAGTTGACAATAATAATAACCGTCTTGTTTTTAAAAATATATATTATCTCAGTGGATTACCGTGGCTGTGGTGTAGGCGCGGTGACCCTTACCAGCCACAGTATCGTCTGCTGAAGTTGCTGGCGGCACATGCGCACTTTGTTGTTTACAACCAAAACTTTCTTGAAGCTAAAACTGAAATAATGGCCAAAGGAGGAGACGGCAGCGCTCAGGACATTTATTATCCCTCAAAGAAGACAAAGTCGGAAGTATGGGCTTTTTTTTTTTTTGGATATTTGAAGAAAGCTGAGGGACAGTTGATAGAAGACGGCTATCCTGTTTGCAGCACGTGCAGAAAGTGTCTGTGAAAGGCAGCAACGCTTCAAATCTCATGACACATCTGCGTGACCATCGCCCACAACTCTATAGTCAACGCAAGGCAAGCTAACGTTAGCGTTTTAGCTAAAATGCGTGATCCGAGGATTTGGGTTGAGGGAGAATGCAACGAGTCGCTACATAAAGCAGCCGCAGCGCCGCTACCTGCATATAAACCGCATAACGGACACCACCATATTGAAATGACGCTATGCATTACGGGGCTCCCACGGGCAGATAAGAGTTGGTCTATCTCCGAGAATAATTATGAATTTAACAAAGATTACTGCCTGATGACATTTTCCCAAATCTGCAAAGCTCACTGGAAGGACACAAACCGAGGACAATATTTTCCTGATATAGGGTTTATTACTCAAGTAAGGGTAAAAAAGTATCTGATTAGAAGGCTACTGAGTACCGAGTATCATCTGATCTAATATTTTAAAAATGATGTCATCAAACAGACATAAATAAGAAGTTATGGGCAAATATTGGCATTTTAAAGACTAAAGGGGAAAAATATAAACAAATAAACAACATAATTACAAAATAACACATTTTAGGCTAAATTTAGACACAAACTGAGGACAATATTTTCCTGATATACAGGGTTTATTTAGTTGTCTGAAAATGTAACACGTTTAAAAAAATACCGCGATACCGAAAACCGTGATAATTTTGGTCACAATAACCGTGGGGTTAAACTTTCACACCGTGACAACCCTAATGCTAAGTACTAATATCAACTAACTGACTTTCTTAAAGCAATATTCTAGTATTTAATATGTACAACTTGTTCAGGATAAAATGTCATTAGTTTGAATGCCATTTTTGGCAAAAGCTACACATGTACAACTGCAAAATGTTAGAAACAAAAACACAGGGAAAAGTGCACTACTCCAGTCCAATGGGTAGCAGTAAATGCAAGAAAAGGACACACTAAGAATGTTTGCCTCTAGAACACAAGATAAGCCTAATTTCTACTTTGTCAGCTCTGCGAGGGAGAGACTCACACGCATTGACAGAGAAGTGTTGCTCTCGGACTTTTCCGTCAGATGAGGCGTGTTGCAGAACGCCCCGCCAGGACAACAGAGGGTGTAGCGCTATCCTGAGGTATCCTGCCACACTTACAGTCACGCATCCGATCCACAATAGTGTATTCACCATTGCATTTACATTTTGTTTTCGATTGTATTTCAGAGACTTTTTAACACGAACAAATTTGTTCCTCTTTCCCCTCCACCTGTTCATGCGATAGGCACCTCTGAACTCACGGAAAAAATAAAAAGTACACCTTTATTTTTTCTTCTCCAGACATCAACTCCTGTTGATTGTTGTAGCTTACATTACTGTTCAGGGTTCCCCCCAGCACTTTATAAGCTTGGCGGGCCGCCAGGCTTTGCTTGCCCACCCGCCAGGCTAAGCGTAATGCCCAGCCCCCCTCCCCGACCCTAACGTGTCCGCTGACACAAACAGCACAACAAAACTAGAGCTCTCCATCAGCTGATACTGGTGAGAAAGCAGCGGAACGTGTGCAACCCCCCCACCCCCCGCTCTCACAGAGGAGCGCTGCGGGTCGGAGGGCAATCGATCGAAACTTTATTAATCCCAGAGAGAAATTAGAGTTTCAGTACACACAATTCAGAGATCAGACATACATGGGCAAGACACATGACAAGAATTGGTGATCGTGGTCCTTCGCAACACGAGTCGCGCTACCTTACGACCCCCCCGCCCTGCGGGACGGAGTGCGCGAATATAGACAAATATCGGTTATCGGCCTTAACAGTGAACTTAATATAGGATATCGGTATCGGCCCAAATATTTCAAATGGGTGCATCACTATTTTTTGGATTATTTATTTCAAAAATATAACAAGCATATTTGGACTCACTTTTCAACAACACAACTGTGAAGGAAAACATAGGCTAAATCCATATTTATGTTGATGTGATGTTATTTTAAGACATCACTCACTGCTGATATGAATAAAACTAACAACCTTAAACTAAAAAGCAAACCCAGCTGCTCATGGTAGACAGACACTAGCTAGTGGGTCAGACCAGTCAGAAGCAACAACACATACCGTAGATGTTTTCATGGCAGCAGACATGTGACCATTCTCTGTTGTTAACACTGGTTTTATAAACATGCATGCTAAAAGGGAC